GATACTGATTCCTGTATTATAGAAAGTCCCTCAGGCCTCTCCGGGTGAGGGCTACACAGATGGGAAAGACAGGAGTTTATGGAGTAGAAATGTCGACATGTATGTTGCGCTTCAATGGGACAGATAATCTGTAGCCTTAAAAACAGGATACAGGCAAGGAAGTCCCAAGAGATGCTGTGCGTGTCAAGAACACATAATTTCATGTAACTGGGTGTAAGCAATCACTCATTTTTCAAACCTTATTCCTAACATTAGGTGGGCAAGGTGAAGGACAAATTCCAATATTTAATTAACTGTTGAAGTATGCTTTCAAAATGTATTGCCACCCTGACTTATTATATTTTTTTTGTTTAGAACCTTCTTGAATCTTCCAAAATTCAATCAACTTAAATAACACCAATGGCACACCCTTTACACCTTGTAATTTCAATTTGTAAAATCCACTGTCAATATTGGCCCTCACCCGCCCCAACCCCTTAAAAAAATGCTGAAATTTTGGTTGTTTTGTTTATTTCAATGACCAAACAAGTGCAGGAGTGAAGACAACTGTTTTAAACATGCTGTTGTCTACCCATTCCCTTCTTCCATATGGATTCACGATGTATCAATTGAAAACAAAGTGGAGGGGGTGTTGGGTGGGGGTTGGGGGAAGAGTTCTTCCTTGCATCAAATGCCTCCCTCTTGGCTTTTAGTCAGCTTCTTCTAATTATCCTTCACTGCTGGTGGCATTATCCTCCCTGACCTCTGGGTAGATGCTGAAGGATTCTTGGAGGGTCATGGTTAATATTCTTACCATCTTACCTTCCCCATTGGCAGTGCTCTGGCTCGGATCATTGATGCAGGCGTACTGGTACTCGATCTGCGGCTGCTGCCCATCAGTCTGCTCATAGCCTGGGGATGATGTGTCCGTCTCCGATGGCTGCTGTGACTGGGGGACTATGAGGTGTGTTACAAGGCTGGCACTGTTGGGTGCTGGGTCGGTGTATGTGGTGAAGATCTGGTTGACATCCTGGGTAAAAATGGTGGGGTGAAGTGGTTGAGGATGATAAAATGAGACAAAATCTGCAGGGTTGCAAAAGATTTATGACACAAACGTACAGTGATAAATTTGGTTCACACTTTCTTAAAAGACACGAAGTATTGGCATTTGATATCATCCTTGTAGAACTACCATACCTGCTCACAGGGTACATACATTTCAACTGATTAAATGCATTTCATTGGGTTTTTTTATGCAGATTATAAAAGGGGACCATTACATCACATCAACAGCATACTAAGTTGTCTTGAAGCAGCACTGAAACTGTGAAGGTTAAAAAAAAGTAGTTTTATACACTTTAAGCCACAAATTATTTTTTCTCAAAAGAATGGATACTTGAGTCAAATGTTTGATTGTGAAATTTATTTCAGAGAGTCTTTTGACCCTAAATCCCTAGCATGATTTACTAGGAACCATACCCATCCTGGCAAATTCCAACACCATATGGGAAACTGCACACACACATATTTCTGACTTCAGTTTAGGGGTACTATACCCATCCCAACAGATTCCAACAATACATGCTGTTGGGGTTTCATGGGTTGAGTTCTGTTCAGGTGTAAGCTATAAATAAGTCCAATGAGTTTTGGAATTCAAGCATCAGAAATTTGAAACAGTTTCTGAGTGAACCATGGTAGTTTTACCAATCTGTGTCAATGTTTAACTCGCCCGTACCCCCCGCCCTGCAAACAGGACGCTGGGATACTCTGATGAGCTTCACAGAATCTTGTGAAGGAAATGGCCTATGACCTACGTATAAAGCATCTGGCTGCAGCTGTTCAAGACCGCAGTTAGACAATGTGCGCAAATGCTATCCGAAAACTTCCCATAGAATTGGGCACATTCCATACCGGATGTGATTTCTGTTTCATTGCGGACCATGTGGACACAATTTTGAGCGTCGCATAATGCAATCCGACCGTTCGTGATTCGAAACGGAGTCTGCGCAAGTGACGGGAATTGTAAATTTACAAAACAGATATGTTTTACAGAATTTCCGTACATTGTTACGCTTTTCAACGAGAAAAAAAATCCCACAAACTGGAATAAAAGAGTAATGAATCAGTCTCAATGGCCGTTTCAAACCTTGCAGAGTCATGACCTTGATGACGCGCAGGTCACTGGTCACGCAAAATCCAACCAATCAGAGCGCGAATTCATCAGAGTATCCCAGCATCCTGTTTGCAGGGCGGGGGGTACGTGCGAAAATGTTTAACAGCTTCACTGTTGACACAGTTTAATTGTAGTTTACATGTATTGTATATGCAGTCTTATGTGCCCACTGGAATAGAATGAAGTACATGATTGTAAAATTGACCATGACATACTGTACCCGAGTACATACTGTATCCGAGACAGGCTAGCTACATGACATATGTTGGCCCCATCATTGAGTACGCCGCTCCAGCCTGGGATCCCCACACTGAGAAAAATATCAAAAAAAACAGGAGCAAGTTCAGCACAGCAGCGCCCGCTACGTCACCGACAACTACGACCGCACCTGCAGCGTAACATCAATGCTTAACGACTTGCACTAGAGTCCACTCAAGGCCAGGCGTCTCCAGAGCCATCTAGGGATGCTTTATAGGATCTGCTTCAACGTGGTAGACATACAGTACACTGGAACACCTTCCTCACTGAAACCACATCTAGTACTAGAGGTCACAGTTCACGGTTCTTCGTGCCCCATTGCACAACACTGGTCTATTCCTCATCATTCTTCCCACAAACTTGCAGAGACTGGAACTCCCTGACGTTTGACGCGCAGGTCACTGGTCACGCAAAATCCAACCAATCACGTGTACATGTACTTATAGTTTTATTAGAACAGCGAGTCAAGCGCATTCATTGTTCTTGGAGCATGCCCCCCCCCCTCCCCCCGCAGTGCATTGTTCTTCTCATCGCAGAAGTCTGCACTTTATGAAAGGAAGGAATGACTATCTGTATTGTGGTCTCTGGATTACGGAAGTGTTGCTGGTAGTGCTTCATAGCCTCGTCCCTCCTGCTGAAACCGTTGCGACAGTGGTAGCAGTTCCAGTGGGCACCCTTGAAGTATTTCTACTCGTGTATGATGCCGTGGACGATGCAGGATCTACAACACCGCAATATTTTAAGACCTGGGGAGGGATACAGTAGAAGATTGGTTTGACAATTTTGACATAAGCTGACAGCCGTATGCACTTTGACAAAACATGAACTATGGATCTTTTTATATGGTTCTCTTGCTGTAGGCACAAGTAAGCTATTGACCTGAGTTAGGACTCTTGTTCAGGCAGGGATGCAAAGATTTTCCCGAGACACAGTCGGCGTTTGGGCATGGCCTGTGACAACTGAGTCTATCGAACACTGATATCTGCTAAGAATAACCAGCCCAGGTATCTGTCAATTTCATAAAACTCCCACAAATGCCACTACCTTGTCCTGCTGTCCACTACCTTCAACTTATCTTAATTCAACTCCCAAACCTTTCCACAAACACGGACCACAAGTCGTCTTGTAGCATGACTCATGAAGAGAAAGTGAAAACATTGTCCTTAACCTAAAACTTATTTCTTGGGATCCAGTCACAAGTATGCAAGAGCTTGGTCTTGTTCCCAAATGCAAACTCACCCCCAAAGTTGATGCCTTTATCCACGTGCTTGACCCTGTAGTGCGCCTTGAGGAGAATCTCATCAGTGAAGAGACTGTCCTGGGAGCAGAATGGACAGTGCAGATGCGGAGCCTTCATCAAGGAGTGGCTACACTCCCCGTCTGTGCATTGTATGGGCGTCCAGTCTGCCTCAGCGCCTTTCATTTGCACTGATGGATGCGCCTACAGTTGCAAACAAAATGAGACAACCGTCAAGTTTACATGTATGATGTAAAAAAAAAAATATATATAAATGTATGAAACGGCAACACCAATTAAATCTTCACAGAAGTTTTCAAAGTGGAGAGGGGGAAACAAATTAGGCCAAATAAAAAACAAAAACATGTCTAGCGTCCCCGCCTGCTTCCTTTTTGGAGGCTGCCTCCTTAGGTTCTTTTTTTTTAAACCAAACTTTTTTTTAAATTTTCAATAGTGACATCAGTTTAGCCTCTTACATTGTATCTGTTGCATCATGGAGCTATAAACACATTTCAATATAAAGCTGGTATGTAATTTGCCGAGTCCAATGGTGGCCATTTAAAAAAAAAATGGCAGCCATCTTGAAAAATAGCCCGGTCGGGCTATTGGGGAGGACAAAAAAAAAGAAGGGTCTCCCGCTTCCTTTTTAAAAAAAAAAGCAGGACCCTAAGCATATTCTTTTTGGAAAGATTCCCACATCTGGCCATCACTTGTCATCCTGTGCACAATGAGACTGGTCTGAAAATATTTAAGTGTTTTCTTAGTAAATACCCCAATAAATTCCCTGCTAAATTTGACATACTTTCTGATGGCTGATAGGTCGCTGAAGGAAAACATTATTGATGGCCAGATATGGGAATCTTTCCAAATATTGAAGTGAAGTGTCCGGAAACTGGGCGATTTCACATTTTGCTTTTTGTTTAAAAAAAGTCATACGACGAGGTGTCCAACTTAAAAATATAAATAATTTTCCAGAAAATCTTGGGTACCTACCACATGAATAGCCATATTCAACAACTCCTTTGCCTTGAATAATCACATAAATAAATTCTGGGGCAAAATTAAGGGGAAAAACTAGTGTAAAGCGTAAACAGCGCCCTCCAGAAAAAAAGAGAAAAATGTGGGTTTAAAGGGTTTTCCAAAATTTGATTCATTCCCGGTGCGGCTTGTTCTATTAAACCAATTTGAAGAAGAATAATTATGGAATTTCCACACAGCTACTCAGAAAGCGTGGGGTGTCAAATAAGAAGAGACAAATAGGTATTATTGGGCTTCCGTTACGGGAGACGCAGGCATCTCGTTAAAAAAAGAAGGATGCCAGTTCAATAATGAAGCTGCGAATCTGCGACGAAGGCCGAGGTTTCGAAACAGCTTGCATGTGAGGGACACATGAGGGCAGCATTCAACAACATAAACACGCGACTCTTGAAAATCTGGCGCTACCGAGTGGCTGAAAACTTTCTTATTACGTCAGTGTCAGTACTACATGTTTGTTTTCATTAAAGGTAACATTAATTTGGTTGTTTTTAATAGCTATTGGTGAAATCTGCATTATTTTATTTAGTGAAACGTCGTGCAGAAGTAGCCGTCATGGCCGCACTCCCGTAGACGCACTGGCAGTGCGTTTACAACGCTATTGTGTATCATTGTATCTAATTCGTCGTGTGTTTTGTGTGTTCGTGAAGAGTTTGAGATGCTGGAAAAAAGTCGGTAATCCTTACCTTTAGGACCCCTTTCCTATATAAGGTTAAAAGACTCACCAAAACAGCTGACTAAATGACCCTCAAAAGTGACATTCTGATATTTCTTGGCACATTTGAACATTTGGCAATGACACCTCTTGAATATCAGCAGGTTTAATTTTGTAGAAAGAGGGCTGGGCTTTGATTTATGAGGGGTAAAAAGACGACAATGACAAACAGAAAATATATTAAAAATGCAAGATGGTGAACTGCAAAAAAAGGTAGGAAAGTCACATTTTCTTTGAAAGTGCTTTCAAAATTACAACTAACATGAATTTATCTGAAGTAAAAAGACTGCTCTAGCCTGCAAAAGTCACTTTGGTACTGGACAGTCATCTGCAAAAGTCAGTTTTGAACAGAACTCGTACAAAACAGAGGTGTCCTAAAAGTAAGGATTACCAAAAAGTCCATACTGGGGTACCACTCATATTCCTTAATATGACCTGAAAAGTACCAAACATTGCCAAAAGTTGTAAATCTGATGAAGAAACACTGTTTTAAGGAGAGCAAACATTCTTTGATAATACGTGTTCTGTCATGGCCCATAGACTTTGTGCAGGAACTCTGAGTGGTGGCCCAGTATGGATTTTTTTCCGACCACCCCAACTAGTTGGCGACATTGAGAACATTTAAAGGAGTACTTCTGAAATCAGAAGGCTTCTCTCCGTCAGAGAAGCCTTCTGATTTCAGAAGTAATATAGGGGTAGTCCTTATTTTTAGGACACTTCTATTTTTTACGAGTTCTGTTCAAAACTGACTTTTGCAGATGACTGTCAATTACCAAAGTGACTTTTGCAGGCTAAAGCAGCATTTTTCCCTCCAATAAACTCATGTTTGAAATTTTGAAACACTTTCAAAGAAAATGTGACTTTCCTACCGATTTTTGCAGTCACTAATTAAGTACAAAAATGTCCATCAAAATGCAGACATTTCCCACAGAACCACTACACAGTTTGCCCCTAAACTCCGCACTATACCTCATGACATACTCACGTAATATGCGCAGAACAAACATCGCTGGATTTTGTAGTTTTTTGGCTAAAATAATGAAAAATATGCCCTTTCCGCACTGAGCCAACCTGACACTTGAAACGTGCACGCATATGATCCAGCGATGATTTTCAGTTGCAAAAGAAATGATAGTATGCGCATGCGGGCTCCGAGCAGGCGCGGTTCAATGGGGGGGGGAGGGGGGGGCTGTAGCCCAGCCAAAATTTTGTCTAGCCCCCCCAAAAATTAATTTTGTAAAAAAAAAATTGCATTAGCAAAAAGAAGGATTGTGATGAACATGTGAACGGTCTCCCCCTAAAGAAGAAACAGCCGTGACAAAGATGCATTATTATTGGTGCTCCCCGTTGAAAATATGGCATGAGGCCCCCCCCCCCCCCCCCCCCCCCGCCACCTATTGATTTTCGGAGGCCTAAGTGTCTGGAAAAAAATACTGGTCAACATTTCAGCACGCCTCCCTGAAAAAATTCTGGATCCACCGTGCTAGCCCCCCAAAAATATTGGTTCTAGAACCGCGCCTGGCTCCGAGTGAACCAAAAAATCATCGCTGGATCATATGCGAGCACGTTTCAAGTGTCAGGTTGGCTCAGTGCGGAAAAGGGCATATTTTTCATCATTTTAGCCACAAAAAACGACAGCATCCAGCGATGTTTGTTCTGCGTATATTACGTGTGTTTGTCATGAGGTGTAGTACGGAGTTTAGGGGCAAACTGTGCAGTGGTTCTGTGGGAAATGTCTGCATTTTGATGGACGTTTTTGTACTTAATTAGTGTTTTGTGCTGCAAACAATTTTGCGGGGTTCTTCATCTACGTGGAGCCTACGTGGAGCCTCATAGTTCTAGGAGTAAAACGTGAGATGTGCCCATTGTATTTTTCACAACACGAGTGAAAGCCCAACACAATGAAAGCCCAATGCTGATTGGCTGCTAAAAAAAATAAGTAACATATTTTATTTTTATCAGCCAATCAGCAGTGAGCTTTTACATTGCATCTAGCTTTCACATTTGCCATCTTGGTTTTTGAGTCTGTTTTCTGGTTGTCGTCGTCTTTTAGTTCTACCCCTTAATTTCCCTCATAAATCAAAAGCCTGCCCTCTTTCCACAAAATTAAAGTTTTGATAATAAAGAAGGTGTCATTACCACCTGTTCAGATGGTCAAGAAATATCAGAATGTCACTTTTTAGTGTCATTTAGTTGGCTGTCTTGATGAGTCTTTCAAATATAGGAATGGGTCCTAAATGTAAGGATTACCCATAGGTACGTCATAGATAAAGGGCAGTGTTTTTAATATATGAAGAAAATTTGGGGGTAAACTGACGACGACAACGACAAAACGCAACATGAAAATAAAAATGGCGATCACCACGCGATGGACCATGTGTACCATGAGCACACAAGTCGCGCTGCACGACACCAACTGGCCTGTAAACCGCGTAGGACAATCGTAATTTCTACCCCAAGAAACTTTTCAAAAATTGCCAAAAATGTGTCAAAACATTGAGAGAAGTCTGTTTAAGTTGACAATGTCATTTTTTAGAAATAAAAAACGTTCCTGATTCTAATTTGATAAAAACAAAACACGGGCCCTACACTACACAATTGCCCTAATTTTTCCCTTCAGTGACCTATCAGCCATCAGAAAGTGATAATAGGCCTGTGTCCTAAAAAGTCAGATTTAGCAGGGAAATGTTGAAGTAGGCCTGTATTTGAAATTGAGAAAACACAGAAATTTTCAGACCAGTCTCATACGGTTTGTGCTCAGGGTGAAAAGCGATGGCCAGATACGGGAATCTTTCCAACCCCAGCTCCAATGCTCATCGGGAATTCAACATTATATGAGCTGGTGGTAGTCCAAGTAACTTATCGCTTTTTCAACATTCAGACATGGTCTGGCAAGTAGGTCACCAGACCATGTCCGAATGTTAAAAGGGCGATAAGTTGGGTCCAAGTTACTCCGACTAAAGCTGGAGGCACACATCTGGTTTTTGTCCAGCAGCCAAAATATGGCAGAGGCTGTAAAAAATGGCCTCGGAAAAGCCATTGAAATCATTTTTTTTCTTCATATTTTAGTTTAATAAAGCTAGTTTGAGTAACTCCAGCTCCAATGCTCATCAGGAATTCAACATATAGCGCTTAAACTGTGTTGTGAAGACACAGGAATATAGGGGAACATATGGGAATCTTATGCTTTCAAGGTTTTGCCACCTCAAGAGACCTTTATATTTTAATACTTATATTTTTTTTTCATTTCTGTCATGAAGAGGAAATTCATGTGTTTGAAATTGATACTAAATTCTAAGAGGCCCTAAAAACGGGACACTCTGTATAGGTCTGTATCACAAAAATGGTCCCTTTCCCCTCTATTAATCCCAACCCAGATTGTGATACAGATACAGAGAGCCCTGTTTTTCAGGGCATCTTAGAATCTACAACATACTTTTAGCTCCATGCAGCTCTATATGTCGAATTCCTGATGAGCATTGGAGCTGGAGTTACTCAAGCTAGTACAAAGCATTGTTCTGTTTCAAGTCCACCATTTGTTTCGTAAATGATTGCTGCAGGGCGTGAAGTAAGTTTAATCTCATCTGGGTTTGGATAATAAGGGAAAAAGTAAAATTTAGTATAGACCAAATTTCACGGCCTCCGCCATTTTCCAACTGCTGGACAAAAACTAGAATGTGCCTCCAGCTCTACATGTCGAATTCGTGATGAGCATTGGAGCTGGAGTTTCTCATCTCCATCTTGTATGGCAAGTTTTCAATACCTTCAGTTTTGGGACTCTTATAGACAGTATTGAGAGTTCCAAATGTTGGGACTAGAGTTTCTCAAGCTAGAGCTGGGGCAACAACTATTGGAAAGAGTTCCATACCTGGACATCACTGGACACCCTGTGCACAAACCCTATGAGACTGGTCTGATAAATTTGAAGTGTATTCTCAGTAAAAACTTCAATATTTTTCCTGCTAAATTTGACTTTTAAACTTGTTATCCCTTTCTGATGGCTGATAGGTCACTGTGGGGAAATATTAGTGATGTCGATGCAATATGTATGGAATTCTTCCCCAACTATTTTTTCCCCAGCAGTCAGAAAATGGCGGAGGCCATGAAAAATTGCCTCAACTGAAATTGTCTTTTTCCCCCATTATCCAAACCTAGTTGGGAATGAAACTCACCTAGTACCATGCAGCAGTCATCACAAAGCAAAGGATCAACTTGAAACAGAACTACACTGGCTAAAATATGGGGAAACAATGATGATTTTGGTGGCTTTTCAGATAGAACTGTCGCGTCGCAGCTGTGTTGTGGCGACATTTACAGCTTGCGTCTGAAACTGGTATGGAAACCACATATACATACATCGCACTGCATGGAGACATGTACACGATATGGTTACCATACTATTTTCAGGTGCGCGTTGTAATTTCAAATTTCGACCCCTCCCCCTAGATATCCCACTGGTCATGGCTTCCAATAGTATACAACTGCTTTATGTGCAGTTTCTTTATATTTCCAGTGTGTTTTTGGTCCAACGTAATAACACCAAAATGGATGAGAAGCAGGGAGCAACTTCTGATGATGTCCCAACTGGGGAGGTAACGTCAACCACAGTTACGGAGGGTGATGTTGTCAAGATGCCAACAGCTGTGGCCATCACTATGGATGCTATTCCCAATGAAGATAAGGAGGACAAATCCAAAGGTGACTTGTTATTCTTTTACTTGGTGAAGACGTTTGCCCCTTTGCCAGGTCAGCTAAGTGTAATCTCATTCATGTGATTTTGTCCATTCTTGCCAATTTCAGAACTTAATACTTTATTCCAGTGGAATTCACTTTGCTGCAAAACAGTTTCATTGTTTTCCAGGTTGTTTTTTCAAATTGGGGGATCGAGGGTTCAATTTCATAAAAAATTGTCGTTGTTGAACTGTCCAACTTGTTAATTTCTGATGAATGAATGCAAAGTTTACAAAGCCATTCATATCTTAAAACATTACTTCTTTGTTGATTAATATAAAGCCCATTGAGAAAAGGTAAATAAAAATATCAAAATATTACGAGGCATCAACAAAGTATCAAGTATCAGAAAACCTTACCAGCTCAAGTACCAGACTGGTGATAGTACAAATCATTGTTTGTGTTTGGTAGTGTTTAATTACGCACAAAAAGAATAGTTTACAAGTAATGAGTGATTCAGAGTGAAATGGGAGGAATATTATCGCAAGGTAAAATCTGGACTTTTCCATTTCACGAGGCAAAGCCAAGTGAACTGGGAAAGTCCAGATTTTACCAAGCGATAATATTTCTCCCATTTCACAATTTAAAGCCATTCATTATCTATATATATAAGAGAGAGTTTTACTCGGCCTCCGAGACGATGTTTGCTCATGAAAGGATCCGAGACCGCGGGCTCCTGCGGCGCCAAAATCGATCCACGTCCGTGGAAAAATGCGGAGGGTGTCTTCCGCCGGGTCGGACACTTCGGGTCGTCCTGATTTTCCGGACGGACCGGCGATCGGTTTCGTCGATTTTTCGTGACTGCGTTTTGCACAGGAATTTGCCGTTGTGTGCTGGCTTTTCTGGGAGTCTAGACTGTGCGAGGTCAGCGGCTTCAACGTAGGGGTTCCGTTTACGTGTTCTACTTCTGCAAAAGTGTTCATTCTGCAAAAGTGTTCACCAAACGGTTGTATGGGGTGACCTTGGTAAAATATTTTTTGTCCATGGTGCGTGGCCACCAAGTGTCCCTATTCTTTCCTATGCTTTGCTTGCCGCCCCTGCGCTGAGTACAACAAATACTCAGATTGACTACACATTAGTATGCCTTGGGCGGTCTGACCAATCGAAAGTCTACACTGTGTACTTCCGGGGTCTGCCTAAAACCGTCGATGGTAACACGTACTGCAGCATGCTCCACACCCTGGAAACGAGGTTGGGTCTACGGTGCTCGCTATTGCACAAGCATGTGACGTCGCTGTTGCTTCCATAATGTGTTTACAGCTCCATGCTTCCACTAGCTCTATGCTTCCACCAAGGCTGAACGTTGTGAGTTCGCTGCCCGCCACGTCACGGTATAATTCAGTGTCGTGTTATAATTTCGGGGGCCTGTTTGGGATCAACGAAGGATCGATGCATTGCTTCAAATATCGCGATCTTGAACGCAGTCACAAAAAAAACCGACAAAACAGATCGCCGGTCCGTACGGAAAAAATGGGAAGACCTGAAGTGCTTGATTTAGCGGAAGAAATTCTCCGTATTTTTCTATGGACGTGAAGCCATTTTGGCGTCGTGGGAGACCGCGGTCTCGGATCCTTTCAGGGGCGAACATTTCTCGGAGGCTGAGTAAAACTTGCTCTTATATAGCTGGTTGACCAACTTGAATAAAACTTGAAAGTTCAAGTTTACGTTTATTGAAGAGTCCAATACTGAAACTTAATTATGACCTTCCTCCATCATTCAGACCGTTTGTAATTTTATGGTAACACTCAACATTTTCATTGCAAATGACAACTTCACGTTTGATTGCATTATGATTTATTGTCAAAACTGTACAATCAGCCTTCGCCTGTGTACTACGGTAACCTTTTCACTACGTTTTCCCTGCAATGCGACTGCCTCACAAAATGCCAATTTAACAGACCAACGGGAACATTTACAGACAGTTGTCATGGTACATAATCATGTGTAAAAATCGGTGGGGAACAGGGGGACCCCCCCCCCCCCACATTTTAAAGCGGGGACATTGTTTGGTCCCCCCCCCACTTTTTCTTCCCCGAATAAAAATTGTAGCCTACTAAAATGATTCTATTGCTCAGAATACCGTGTAGCTGATTCAATTACCCCAAGCTCGAACATGATGTTTAAAAGATGATCTTTTGCTCAAATTGGTTTTAGTGGTCAGAAATTGCCTCAGATCACACCACAAAAATTGCTTTTCTATAACTGCATGTCTCCTCAATGATCCCCCATTTATATTTAACTGCCCACTTTTTCATCCCCAACACTACGCCCTATATACCCAATCTATGATCGGGTAAATCAGCTTGTTTGTTTTATATAACTGACTTATATATCCAGGGGTGTGAAATCTCAGCTTTATAGCTGATTTCAGCTTTTTTTGTTTTGAATTTCTTTTTTCCCTCACATTCTGTGTACAAAAGTATAGGACATTTCCAAAGTTCAGCTTTTTTTACAGGGCAATTCCACACCAAAGTGGACATGACACCAAAAAATTCAAATACATGTGACTTAAACAAATTTGGCATCAAATGAAAGCTAAAAGTCTATATTTTCAAGATTTGAAGTCGGAATTTTATTTTTTATACATTTCGGTACCAAAAACTAGGATTATGTAATAATCCTGTTTTAATCCTAAAAATGTGATTAATAGTGATATGAAAGTATTCTACCAATAGACACACAAAAATATGTACTAATGCCATCAGTTTCTGTCATGAGAAAGTATTGGTCTTGAAAAACCGACTAAAACTTGTTTTTAACATTTTGCGTAATTTGTTTCGCTTCAGTGACTTCTAATATTTCAGCCTTCGAAAATGTCCTTCCGTTACCGAAAAAATACATATTTTTAATTTATTTTTAAAACTTGCAGTATGAATGCATTGAAAGTTATTGTGCAAAGCAAGTTTAGGTAGGCCTTCAATATGACATTATAACTGACACTGCTGTACTTCTGGTGTTTTAATTACAATTAATTAAATCACGTCCTTCCGTTACCAAATTGGTAACGGAAGGATGGTAACGGAAGGACAAATCGTATTTTTATCAAATGTTACGACATTTGCGCTCATGTTTGAAAAATGAAAATCACTGCAAATACATGCATGTATAATGAGCATTGAAAGGACATTCATGTGACCCACCTTCACAAAAGCGGGATAAGCAGGGCAAGGTGTTTATTACAAAGGAAGGCACAGGCATGTACAACATGTACAATGTACATGTACATATATGCCAATGTACCAGTACTTGTACATGTATGGAGTTGTCAGGTTGTTGCAGAAAATCAAATCATAAAGTTGCTGCCATCAGCATTCATGGACAATAGAGAAAGATACAAATTCTGTGAAGCCATTCCAGAAGCAAATTAAGTCAAAAATGAGATGGCAGAAAGTACCGGTACTTTGGGGCACTTTCATTCAATTTACATGTGTAAGACATGTTAGGTGCAGTCTTTGACAAATTATGCCCAAGTTAACAACTTCAGTTTGGATGTTTATAAATTAATTGTTACTACTCTAAATCATTGTAATTTGATTTCAAACATTGATTTTAGAGTTCAAATAAAAGTAACACCTAACTGAAGCCATCAGTTCTACCGGTAGATGTTTTTACCTTAAATGTACATGTAGGCTGGTCGCCCCCCCCCCCCCCACCCTTTAGGTAAACCTTTGAACCTACCGGTATTATTATTAAAGGTTGTTGGTGAACATGTAACCAATATACTCAAGTGTTCAAATACTGTGTATTTAAACTTTTAAGGATTGAGGTGATGGGTTTGAAGTCTATTTCTGTAGTAGTCCTGTGTTCGTGAATTATGTGTTTTGGGTTGTTTTCGTTTTTCTTTTGTTATCATTAATAAGCAGGCTTCTATCTTTATCTCAATAGTTTCTTGGGTATAATTATTTATGCCAGGTCTGCATATTGTTGATTTCACATTCAGTTACACATTTAAGCAATTTGTTTCACTTGTATAATTAGTGTAAATTCACATTTTGTTCATGCTATAATTGAGTAAACCTTTTGTCCTTCCGTTACCGTCCTTCCGTTACCAAATTATAATCTGCTTAAAACGTTGTAATTATATAACCGAAACACTTAAAGTCAAATGAAAGGTGGTATAGTATAGATAAAGCTTCAGGGATTCCATTTCCTACCTTTAAAATATAATTGCCCCATAAAATTCACAGAGTTTTTGGAAAACGCGAGTAAGTTGGAAAACCCTTGTCCGTTTTACCGTCCTTCCGTTACTGACCTCATTAATATTCATAATTCATAAACGGGAGGTATTCATGCCCCCCAAAAGTGTGGAAATGAAAGTAGCATTATAGCAATACAAATGTGACATTTGTTTGCTGTAACTATGAACAGTGTCTGTGATACACACATTTGAAATTTTGTTTAATGAGTGAAAACGTCCTTCCGTTACCGTGGAATTGCCCTACACCTTTTTCAGCTGTTTTCAGCTATTTTCAGCTATTTTTGTCAGAGGTCACTCACACCCCTGATATCCTTGTCATTTGATATATTTTAATTTTTATTTCAATACAAAATAGGTGAAAACTGTATTTCTCTCTTCCAAACCACTCCTTCATGAAAATGTTTTAACTCAACTCTGTAGCGCTGGCTCTTTGGAGCAATTCGCGCCGCGCGCAATGCTGAACGCACAATGTACCAGCATACATTTGCACACAAATACAGCTTCATGGAACAAGAATGATCCTTCGCTTGTACCCCCCGCCCTGCAAACAGGACACTGGGATACTCTGATGAGCTTCACAGAATCTTGTGAAGGAATGGCCTATGACCTATGTATAAAAAGCATCTGACTGCAGCTGTTCAAGACCGCAGTTGGACAATAAGGCAAATGCTATCCGAAAATTCTCATAGAACTGCTCATATTCCATACCGGATGTGATTTCTGTTTCATTGCGGACCATGTGGACAAAATTTTGAGCGTCGCATAATGGAATCGTTCGTGATTCGAAACGGAGCCTGAGCAAGTGATGGGAATTGTTAATTTTACAACACATCAGTTTTACAGAATTTCCTACATTATTACGCTTTTCAACGGGAAAAAAACATCTGTAAACTGGAATAAAAGAGTAATGAATCAGCCTTAACGGCCGTTTCAAACCTTGCAGAGTCATGACCTTGATGATGCGCAGGTCACTGGTCACGCAAAATCCAACCAATCAGAGCGTGAATTCATCAGAGTATCCCAGCGTCCTGTTTGCAGGGCGGAGGGTACGAGTGAAGAATGATCCTAACTGTTCAATAGTATTTCCGATTCCCCATGGGCGAATATGACTTTTTGTACCTCGGTGTGAATGGGAGCAATAACGAATGTCACGTACATGTACATGTAATGTGAGTTCCACCGAACAAATGACAAGGATCTGTGTGTCAGTTAGGCTATATAACAGCTTATTATGAACGGCAGAAATGGGTAATTTTTGGGAACCATCCATATTAAGATATATGCAGGCTTATCTCTAACTTTACAAAGACATTCATATTTTGTAGCATTCATTTTTCAATTATCGATGGGTACGTTACAGTGTATATGAAGACTATTAAACTTTGGAATGCTTTTTATCAAAGTTTGAAGTTTATTGATCTGTTTGTCAGTGTGAACTGATTTTCTTGTGCAGTGTCTCACTTGAAAAATTATAATTAAACTTAGAAATATCTCATGCTTAAAAAAAATCAAAGTAACTTGATTTTATCTGATTGGAATTGGTCTTTTAATTTGTTCTTTTGTGTCTATCAGGTCTTGACCCACAAGATAACCATTCCACCAGCACCTCTGACGTACCAGTAACTGGCACTGCCATAACAGATCCTTATCACTATCTGACACAACAGCACTTCACCTCAGAGATCTTCAAGATTGAGATCCAAAACCTCCCAAGACATTTTGGATTTGCGGTGAGCATTCAACTCTCGATAATGATAATACAGTTTGTGCTCTATTAAGAGTTTATGATGTTCTCCATGGTGAGGATTTCTCAGGGTCTTTTTGTAATTTTGTATAACAGCATTTAAAGGCAATTGGATGAATTTCACTAAACCTGGAAATATCCTAGCCTCATGTCTATATGAAAGTAATGGTAAACTGCTTGTAGAAAGTTGTAATCTTTTTTCCAGTGCACTTTTTACAATGCCTGTACACTTTAATAGTTGTTTCTACTGTTGCTGTGATATCGCTTTAGGTATTTCACATTTACAGCTTTGTGATTTTCTGTGTAACTTGTGAAACTAAAATTCATTGCATTGAAAATGTACATGTACACGTAGCAGTTTGTTGTTAAAGTATCTGACTGACTGCCTGTGCCTCGTGCACAATGAACAAAGAGTCACATCAACCTCAACCAAAACACTTTGTAACTTTCCGTCCTTAAACAGCAGTGACACTGAAGTTCCAGCTCATGACATCACTGCATTGCTCATGAATATGGAACTTGGCACTTTCATCAAAACATGTTAAAGCCTGGAGCATCGTAACCCTTCATCAACTAAAAACCTCAAGATCTGTTTCAAATGCACTTAAGTATCTGCAGTGGAAAATGTAGGGTTATACATGTACAAATGTAGATGTTTGTGCCAATTCATGTAGATTTTCACACAGACAAAGTTTAAAAACAAACTTGCTCATTTAAACGCACACAAAAACCTCATTCAAGTAACAGTTAACATGTACATAAGTGTGCAGTTTTGTAATCCATTTGCCTAGACGATCATTTTCAAGTATTTCTGAACCAAGAATGTTAGATTTTCTGTGATCTGGCAGATGCAAGATAGGCGCAGATACAAGTGGCGCTTTCAGCTAAATGCATGTTCCTGTGCCTCTTCCCATTTCACATGATTTGGTTTTCCTTTATAGTCAGATCTGTAATCGGCACTGCAATGGCTGAAAAGTTTGGAATGAATTTGTGATAGTAATTCCCATAAAGGCCCATAAGTGATCTAACTTCCTTTTTCATTCGTTGACGAGATGCATTCAGGATTTTTGTGATCTTTTCCGGCTGTGGCTTTACAACACCGTTTCCTACAATGTGCCCAGAAAATCAAGGGAATCATATCCAGCCATACATTTCAATGGTTTAGCAGTCAAATTTGCCTCCCGCTAGCAGTTCAAAACATCTTGAATTGTTTCGATGTGTTGCTCTCAAGTATCCGTGTATATCAGAATATCATCAATGAAATTCACAGCATGCTGTATGTTTTCCAGCAATTTTCTCATCATGCGTGTGAAAGTAGCCGGTGCATTCACTGTTCAGAAAGGTAACACAGTGAATCGGTACAAACCCTGGGAGGTAAAGAATGTAGTCTTATCTTTGTCTGCGTCAACAATCAGTATTTGCTAGCACCCTTTTGTGAGGTCTAATTTAGTTTAAAAAATCGCAGTGCCTACTTGTGCCATGAGGTTTTCTGGATTTGGGATTAGTTTGGGATAAAAAATGGTGACTATTTAGTTTCCGAAAATCTACGCAAAACTGATTTGTGCCGTCTTTCTTTCGCACTAAACGATGGGTGAGACGTACTTCCACTCCAATTTTTTGACAACACCGAGTTTGATCATGGTATCGATTTCCTTCTTGATTACATCTTGAGTTGAAAACGGTACCAGATACGCTTTGGAGTAGATTGTGAGTTTGACATTATACTCAATGAGATCTGTGCAACCTGGAAGATCGGTTAAGACGTTGGCGTTTTCTCTGAGCGTTTCTGTCAGTTGCTGTTTTTGTGCTTCTGTGCGAGTCTCACAGAAGCACATCTTGCCAAGTTTCAGTTTGTGTTATCAGTAGTAGTTTTACCTCCATCATTCCTTCTTCAATCTCGTAATTGATTACGCTGTGGCTAACATGGGTGAGACTTGCCGCGGCATGGATGATTTCTGGTGCGTTTTGGGTTTCTGATCGAACTATGTACTTTTTGAGGAGATTTGTGTGAAATGTGTGCAGCTTACCGTTCATCTCGATACAATAGTCACGTTGTGCAACTTTCTGTAATACAGGAAACGGCCCTTTCCATTGCATGAGTAATTTGTTCGCGTCAGTTGGCAGGACAACTAATACTCGGTGGCCGGTATCAAACTTTCGATCTCAAGTACGTGCGTCGTAGTATTTCTTATAGCGAGTACTGGACTTCGCGAGTTCTTCTCAAGCTAGTTCGCAAGTAGGCTCTAGCCGTTCACACAAGTCTATGACATATTGGTAAGTTGTCTTTACCTCATCATCTAATTTTTCTCCAGTCCATAACTCTCTGAGGATAGTAAGAGGACCTCGTGCTGAACGACCTTTCTTTAGCTTTTGTGGTCTTGTCTCAACTGCAGCTGTTTTCTCGTCACGAGGGCTTTGGCATTTCTGTTCCGGTGTGTCATTTCGTTTACCTGACCAACTGGGATCAGGATCACGCGGGTCTCTAACACCTGTTATGTTTCCCTATAAGATCGTACAAGGGATTTGGCATACACAATGCATTCACGGTTCCTACAATTAATACAGCGAATCTATTTCAATACGCGCGACTGAAACATTCCGTGTACTGTCTAGAAGAACACACTTTTGTTTTGTCTCCAACATTTGTTCCTTCTTAACTAAACTCTGTTTGACGACAACCGTACCACATCCGCTATCACGCAGAACCTTAACCGTTTCATTGCCTACATACCCGTCACTTACTGGAATTTGGTTACCGATTGTACACGCAACACTAATCATGGGGACTTCATGCCCACAAGACAGTTTCAAATTTTCTCCTATTTGACCTGCACATTCGCATAGCGATGACTTTTTGGTTATGCACCCAGTAACTTCTTGTATTTCTTGCCCTTTTTTCTTCGTCGGTTCGTTCTGTTACTTCCAGACTTGCAGATTGAGCTAGATAGCCCTATGAACAAGAACAATACAAGCACTATCAAACTAATCCTAGCGCAAGTGCGTTTGTGAGGGGAGATTCCAGAAATACCTAACTTACGCAACAACAGCTTGGTTCCATGTGACTTAGTGCGCGTTACATAATCGCCAACATGACATGAAAATCTGTCTATAGGCATCGCAATTTGGGCTTCTCAATGCACGCTGCCTAGCAAGGGCTTCCATAAACTACCTTGAACATCTGTCGTGTATAACCACACACCTAATACTACCGGCTTTTCTCAATTTGTTCTTTTCATTTCCCGGACGAGCCCCCATTTGTCACATTCCCTGGTTTGCTCCTCCCCAAGAAATATAACCCTCAGTAGTCTGGTACATCGTCACACAAAATAAATTGTCAATTCACTCGAATGAATTGACAATTTATTTTCTGTGATGGTGTACCAGACTTCTGAGGGTCATATTTCTTGGGGAGGGTCAAACCAGGGAATGTGACACTGATAGTTGGTTGCAATCTGTTCTGGGCCTGCACATTACTGATGACACAGGAAGTATTGACAATTCCCTACTTTAAAGTAAAATACGTTTCTATTCTTGATAATATGCTGTGAACGTTTCTCGTTACCAGTAAGGTGTTTCACGGTAATATGCGCCAATCACAAGATGGAATTTTTGCAGATGAAAATCAAATTAGGTTTCGCCCTCCTCCGACGTATAAACACTGTTTACTCAGTGTGTTAAGGGCCTGTCACATTATATGCGATCTCATAGGAGACCTTACAGCGACCAAAAATATTTCATAAATTTAACAATCGCAGCGAGGACGCAAGAAAATGACAACTTTCTGTATCAAAGAAGCTCAAGCTATGCTCATACTGTGCTCTTCCCACACTTACGATGCGCTCAACTCGCTCTTTATGCGCCCCTGTCAAGCTCAATTACTTGATCTAGTCGCTGCCGCTGCGCTGTCACTGCGCTCACACTACGCTCTGCTCGCTGTTGATACGTCCTAGTAGCTCGCGTCGCGCCCTCTATTCGACCAAAATACGCTCATGTGACGTCACTCGCGCTGTATAAATACCACGACAAAACGGTCAATACATAGTCCAGTTTCAAATTATTCTACAAGTTCATCGCAGTCGAGTTACTTTCTCATGGAGACTACATCGACTGTCTTGCGCCTAGGCTGCCTCAATGCCACTTCAATGTCGGATGATTCACGCTCGCACAGCGCCCGAGTTGCGTCATTGCGGCGCCCTGGCCAGAGCGCAGAGGTGTTGCGATTGTTTTGGGCATGTTCAAAGACCTTGGCGCTCATCAGAGACCATTAAGACCCTCCGGCGCCCATCTGGCGACCTATGTAGTTGTTGCTACGATCTAGTAGTTGTTTTTGCGCCCCAGCTACTTTTCAAGGACGCAGTAAGAGCGCACATAAGATCGCAGACAGTGTGACAGGGGCTTTACCTCCCGAGAGAAAGTTGCCTCATACACGAACATCAATGCGTTCTGTACCGCGTGTGCAAGCACTGAGAAAAAGGAACATTGTTCTTGACAGCTTTCCAGTGACTGCTGACTCGCTGTGTGTTGTGCATGCCCTTGGCTTGGTGGCTTGCTGCTGCTTGGCCTGGCAGCACGGTGCTCTTGGTCATTTTCTGCCTGCATGTGGAATCACATGAAGCTCCATCTGCTTCCCTGGCTGCAATGGTCGGCTGGGATTCCGTCTTGGGAAGCAACGACAGCACAGTTTGAGGAATGAGAAAGCCTTGACTACAGCTGCACGACAGTCAGCGTTAGTCAGCACTGTAGACGAGGGAATTAATTGAGCTATTGATAAGTCTGAAGATTTTCTGCAAGTTCTAGATATTCAATAGCTTGGGCAGGCAAAGTATAAGTTGTTCCCAGAGTATAAATAATTGCAGCTGAAACGTTCAGTGAGTTCAGAATGAAAAGAAAAGAAAAATGGCAGTATTGATGATAACCATACAGAGGACCTTGCCTGCTAGCTTGGGACAATTTGGCAGCAGAGAATCTCTCAGCTGCTATGATACTACAAAATAACTGGAAACAGCAACAGACATGTATTTGACACTCTGGAATGCTTTGTACACTTTGGATGAACACAATACAAATATACATTGTGTCTTAAGGAAGAGCAAGTCAGCCACAGCCAGATTGGATAAGTAGATGTTGACGATTGTACGCATTGACTTCACTCGAATGACTGTGAAGAGAAAGACCAAGTTTAAGAGGCGGCTGATTGGTGCTTTGATTTCAGTACTTAACCATAGTATTTGTTAATTTCTTTTGTGAGTCTTGATAAAGTTCTCATGGTGCTTTTCAACTTCATCGATCTCCATATCCAACATTTTATTTAGATGTAGCAAAGAGTTTTCTGTCCTATTTCAAGATCACTCCAGTTTTATACTAACAGCGAATATAAGACCTGGAGCAATGGGTAGTTGAAACAAAAAGCTTCTGCATTTTTTCCCCTTAGTGTTTTTTTATCTCTAAGATTTGTAAGGATTAGTTCTTTGTTCCTTGTTTTGAATGCATACTAAACCAAAGTAGACAATAGAGTTTCACAGTTGACTTTGGCATGGATGTGCTTCAGAATAACTTTTTATTTTCTCTTCAAGACTTTTTTACATGTACATTGTGTAATCCGTCGTTAAGGTTTTGCTCATATCTAGGTTACTTAAAAAAAGTGAAATGGCACTCTGCACTTTTTACAGAGTTGTACAGCTCATAAAAGATCATCTGTAACTGAATAAAATTAGATGCAGATCAAAAAATGACACAAAATCTTTCAGGTTGTTCACTACGTTTTGCTTACAACATATTTATTTATAACTCGCATATAGAAACTTGACACAAGCTTTAGATTTGGACTTTGGATAATCAAGAAAGACATTTAAAATGCAGATACAAATAGTCACTGCATCAACAAAGATTTGAAACCATGGAATTCCTACACTCTCTTGCTTGAAATTGAAAGTGTACTTTGAATTCTGCTATCAAATGTTATACTCAGAAAGTACCCATGAACTTTTCTTTTTGTTGTTGGCCCAAACTGATGACCAGCTTTGCAAACAGATTGGCTCCCGTCCATACATTAGTGATACTGATTGTGGGGGGGGGGGACCAACCTACCCAGCAAGAACAGAAATAATGTTTGGCAGCCAATAATTTGGAATTGTAAAGTAATAATTCAATAACTAAACATGAGCTTGTTTTGTGTTTGGTGTTTCATTCAAAAGTGAATAACTTTTGTATTGCTTGAAAAATAGCAGATTGGTAAAGAAATCTGTTTTTTCGGGATGAAATTAGAAAATAGCACGGAACTTTAAGTAAATTCAGTACCTCATCTGGCATTTGTTGAGCAAAACTGTTATGTGGACAGTTTTCCTTGTTTTTTTTCCCTAGAAGGTACATCATTAAAGGTTGCATGTCTGTGTAGAGTGTGTGTGCGATTCACAGTTTCAGATGATTCTTATTTTATCTGATAAACTGTCTAAGTTGAACACATTACCCTCATTGTTTCAAGCTTAAACTTTAATTTGCACATGCACTACCAGAACTATGAACTGAAGTTATGAGAATGGTTGTATGTAGAAAGATGACAAGTTCCACTCACAATCCATTATCCTTTGGAGATACGGTGGACACAATACGAGGGCGCTATGAGGTCTGGGTCTAGTCTTTTGCATAAGTTACCCCAATATACCCAAATCAATTAACACCGTCGTATTGTGTATTGTGTCATGTTGTATTAGAGCAGTTGAGCTATTCACTTTTTCCCAAATTGTTAAGACTCTGAAATACTGAATGTGCTTTTCACATCTTTTTCCAATCTACAGGTTAAACAACATGGTGACTCCACTGTGGAACCAGCCGTATGAGGACCAGCTATCCACCAGACAGACCAACAGCAGGGAGTTTCTGAGGAATTTATCCAAGGTGCTGCAACGGAACATTGGGGAGATGTCTCCCTGGCTGAAGCAACAAAGGTGAGCTACTCACCAAAGACACGGGATGGTTGTGGGCCAGAATGGAAATGTGATCTTCGTTGACAAAAAAAACTGTTTCCAAACACAGTTTTGTGGCAAGTGGACTTACATGTACAGCCACCCTGAAATTTTGTTAAAAGTCCAGAAAATGATGCCTCATTTTTCTTGAGAATCAATTAAAACGCAGCAAACTTTGGGCCAACTTCTGAAATAAACTTCCTTTCCACGCACAAAAGTCCCAAAGATTAAAGGGGGGGGGGGAAGTTGGTAAAAAAAATGTTTACAAGCAAAAAGCAAAAAAAATGAACACAAAACCAAAACTTCACAATTCATAAGCTGCTCGAATGAGACTCGCACCAACAATCTCCTGCTTCCTAGTGCAGATGTCTCAACTACTTGACCATCAGGCTTGCTGGGGTTGGCTGGCTGGTCCCAATCTGATATAGCAGGTGCCACAATCAATGAGTTTAATTAATTGTTTACGTAGGGGAGTTGTGAATGTGAATACCTGGTTTTGCCCTTCACCAATGTAAATTTGAATGCACTGTATATTCAGTGCTGTCTGAGAGCTTACGAGCAAAGATTCTGCAAGCTTGCTTGGGTGGGATATGAACCCATGACCTCCTGCTTACTAGTGCAGACATCTTAACCACTCAATAACAGAGCTTGCAAAGGTTAGTGGGCCAGTTTGAATCTTGTGCATATATAGCTTTGGTTACCACAAGAAATTCACAAGCCTGTTGGAGTGGGATTCGAACCCACAACCTCGTGTTTAATAGTGCACTCTTCATTTGATTGACAGGAAGAGCCATAGTGGGATGGCATGTGAGTTGGAGCCAATTAAGCCATCGGTAAGCAAGCTAGGTGACAAATATTTGTTGATAAAAATATAGATTTTATTTAAATTTATTTGTAGTATTGTGAATGATTCTATGAATTTTAATCTGAATGATAGTTCACTTTGGCACATAGTGTTAGGTTAGCTTGACTGGTGTGATCTAATATTTCAACCTGGATTTCTTGTTAGATAAACTATACAGCATGTGAATCTTTTGTGGGGTAAATATTCCTGACATTGGAGATGTCTGATTTGTTCCTTTAATTTTCATTGTTTGTTTGCACACTCACAGCCAGTATTAGAGAGCTATCGCATCAAGTGTGAGTTTACCATCGGCAAGAGTGTAGATGGCATCGGTGAGTTAAACTGACAATTATTTTTATTTATCCAATCTCTTCATTTTTTGTGTGTATCCGCTCCGTTCACAAGTACCCCCTCGCCTGGATATAAAGTGTGCACACACGTACATAGTGTGCCTGTTATGAAAACCGCAACAGAAAGTTTCAGGATTTTTTTCAGTTATCCCCCTAATTTTTTGTCAGGTCTTCATGAAACTTGGCCCTGGATAAATTGTGCAAACGTTTCAGTTTTATGTCTTATTATTTTCATTGACAGATAACACTGTTGGTTTCCGGCTTGGCGCTTACAAAAGTATATATTTCCTCTGAAGTTTCCTTTTTGCAAAAGACGTAGATCAGCTTTTATGTTTGATTGGATCGGCTGTCGAGGGGCGTGGCCTATTAGTAGCTAATGCTGATCAATTCCAACCAATCAGAATGCAACACACAGAAAGATTGACAGGTGTACATATTGTGCATTGTCTAATATGTCTGTCAGGAATTAATTATTGAAAAGAAAGAAACAAGCCACAAAAGACTTAAACCCTTGTCATCCCCTTTGCTAACCAATATGTTGGCTTACTTTTGTGGCATGAATATTGAGGGTATATGTTTGTACTTTCAACATTGACCAGCAAGCTCTTTTACTCAGTAGGGATTTTTCAACAATTACATTTGTACAAGCAAGAATTAGGTTTTAAATAAAAACATTCAGGAAAATCACTGTTTGTTTAAATGTTGCTAGTGAACACTTTTATTTATTTTATCACTGATCTTGCTTTTACACGCAAATTTGTTTGTCCTATAAAAAGTACGTGACTTTTAGAAACATGGTTTGCCCTGCAATTTTTTTTCTCAAGTATTACTAGGTATCAGAAAGACGTATGAGCTCAAACACCGATTTGGTGATAGTACATTTCTGTATTATTTGTGTTTAGAGTTTTAAATTACACAAGGAAATCGCAGCTTTAATGAACATATAAAAAGCAGCAATTCCACGGATACTGTGCAAATTAAGGTTCATCTTGTATGATGCTAACTTTGCAACGACATTCATATTTTACAGCATTGATTTTTCAATTACCCAAATTTGAAGTACCCTTGAGTCCATCTAAAAGAAATATTAGAATATTGCTTTGCATTTAAACATCATACAGACATGGAGCTCATAATGTAATACAACAGACTAGTGGTGCTACACAGATTATGTACAATTATAGAGCATGCAAGTCTCGCCAGTTCACATTCACTTTTCATGTGAACATCTTGGTTCCAAACACTGACTAGTCTAGCCACAGACTCCCGTGTTTGAATTCACCCAATTCACCCGGTGAATGGAAGTGGAGGTCCACATTTTTTTCAATTTACTATAGTAATCAACTTGCAATAGTTTTTGAATGTGTTGTAAATTGGAAAGATTTTTTTCTTGTTCAGAACCCATTCTTTGCCCTTGACTGGATAAACCTAGTAAAATCACCTAGGTTTTTGAGGTCAACTTGCACGCTCTATTTACAGAAGTGGAGTACAAATTGCTGACTTTAACTATCAACTACATTTTTTTCCAGTTAGTAGCTGTGATGACACCTTTAATACACCAGACTTAAATCCCATACTGTACATCTAAAGCCTACAATGGTCTCGTATATTATATCTGTGCTCTGCAGCAAAACATCTATTCAATTGGATTTCTCCTTGCTATAGATAGAATTCAAGGCTATTGTCAGATTGTTCCCATGTAATTGTTATGGGTGAAGACCTAGACAATAGCCATAGACATCTCACTTGCTCATATTAGACTTTAATATACCTTAAAAAAAATACCATTTTAATCTTTTTTCTTCTTTAATTGGAGTTGGTTTTTTAATCTGTTCATTTGTGCATCAGGTCTTGACCCACAAGATTACCCTTCCACCAGCACCTCTGACGTACCGGTGACTGGCGCTGCCATAACAGATCCTTATCACTATTTGACGCAACAGCACTTCACCTCAGAGATCTTCAAGATTGAGATCCAAAACCTCCCAAGACATTTTGGATTTGCGGTGAGTTTGCTCACTAAACATTCGACCCTCGATTGTGATAATCATACAGCAACTGAATTAAAGGGCCGTGGAATGAATTTCCCTGAAACATGAAAATAATCATATATGAAAGTAATGGTAAACAGCTGCACACTTGCTATCTTTTTTAAGCGCACTTTTTACAATGCCTGTGCACTTGCACAATTGTTTCTAATGTAGCTGTGATGTCGATTTAGATATTTTACTCTTTACATCTTTGGAATTTTCTTTGGAATTTATGAACCTAAAATGTATACATGCAGAGATATCACTTTCAAGTTGTGCATTAAAGTATGTCATTGACTACCTGCTATGTGCTAAATAATGAACAAATCAGTGACATCAACCTCAACCAAAGCACTTTCTCAGACATAAATTACAGAGGTGCATTTCTTTCCTGAAATAAAAACCACAAAATCTGCTTCAAAAGCACTTAAAAAGTGTTTTACAGTGGAAAATGCCAGGGTCATATGTTAATACATGTAGTGCCAATACATGTATATATTCACACAGAAAAGAAAGAAGAAACTTGCTTATATAAACATGCATACATGTACACAAAACTCATTCGAGTAACAATTACAATAATTTCTGAACCACTTGCACATACATTGAATGAGTTCCCAGCTGTTCCCTTTACTGACAGTTGGTTGCAATCTGCTCTGGGCCTGCACATTACTGATGTCATGATTTGTACATGTATTGGCAATCTCGAAAGGAATTTTCATTTCCACTGCAGCATATTATACTGTTCATGTTTCTTGACATCAAATCTGCTTGGCATTCCAATGAAGAAGATGCATGAAAAAGAGAAGCCTTCAAACCACCCTACAGTTTGAGCACTGCACAGCAAGTTCAAGGCACACTAACTGTGCATACTGCCCAATTTACTTGAGTGGTTTCCACTCATTACTCACCTGAGAACATTGTTCTTGACAACTTTCAAATGATGGACTCCCTCCTGGTTCTGGATGTGCATACTGCTGCCCTTATGTTGATCTGTCGGTGCCAGTCAGCCCAGGACATTGTTCCCGAGTACTTGCAAGTGACTGCTGGCTCTCTGCTGGTTCTGGATGTACACACTGTTTTCCTTGCATGGATGGCTTGCAGTCAGTCAGACTAGAGCATTGTTCCTGATGAGAACTTGCAAGCGCTGGGGTCCCTGCTGGTTTTGCATGTACCTCAATATGCACTTGAACATGCTGCTGACTGTGCATGGATGCCTTGCTGCTGCTTTGCCTGGAACATTGTTCTTGACAGCTGTCCAGTGACTGCTGACTCTCTGTGTGTTGTGCGTGCCCTTGGCTTGGTGGCTTGCTGCTGCTTGGCCTGGCAGCACAGGGCTCTTGGTCATTTTCTGCCTGAGGAATCACGTGAAGCTCAATCTGCTTCTCTGGCTGCGATGGTCGGCTGGGATTCCGTCTTGGGCAGCAACGACAGCACAGTTTCAGGAATGAGAAAGCCTCGACTACAGCTGCACGATAGTCGGCGTTTGTGGCGTTGTAGACTAGGGAATTGATGGAGCTATTGATAAGTCGAAAGATTTGTGCACATACAAGCAGAATATGTAGTTTTTCTCCAAGTTCTAAATATTCAACAGCTTGAGCAGGCAAAGAATAATTTAATGCCACTATTGTAATAATTACAGCTGCAATGTGCAGTGAGTTCAGAATGAAGAACACAGCAGTATTGATGATAACCATACGGAGGACCTTGCCTGCTAGCTTGGGACGGTTTGGTACCAGTGCTGATTGCTTGCGTACTTTCACTACTACAAAGATGTACAAAGCAAGAGTTGCTATTAACCAGACAATGGTGATAATGGAAGGAATCCAAAAGATGATGTCATCGAAGACAGTCTTTGGTAAGAATATAAGAATCACAGCAACAATAATTGTGGGCACCCAGAGTCCTGCTGATATCTTTGCTGCCCGAGATTTAGAGGCTTTTTCTTTGTGTTTCAAAGGATTGCACACTGCAGAGAACCTCTCAGCTGCTATGGTAACTACAAACAGACTAGAAACAGCAATAATCATGTATTTGACACATGCGAATGCTTTATGCCCTGCGAAGGTGTACTCTATGGGTGAAAGCAATGCAAATATAAAGTCAGTTATAAGGTACAGCGAGTCAGCCACAGCCAGATTGGATAAGTAGATGTTGATGATTGTACGCATGGACTTCACTCGTATGACTGTGAAGAGAAAGACTAAGTTGATAAGGAGGCCGATTGGTGCAATGATTTCAGCACTTAACCATATTATTTGATCACTTCTGTCTCGACTCTTGTTATAGTCCTGAAGATGCTTTCGTATGTCAGTTGATGGAGTGGAGCTGTCTTGGTAGCCATCACCCATAGTTCATGTACAGTGTAGCATTGAGCTCCATATCCAACATTTTATTCAGATGCAGCAGAGAGTGTTCTGCCCTATTTCAAGATCACTCCAGTTTTATACACACAGGGAATATAAGACCTCAAGAAATGTGAAGTTGAAACAGAAAGTTTGTTGAAATGTTCTCCCTATTTTTCGGAATTTCTCTTAGACATATTTATACATGTGACATATCTCATGACAGCAGTAGCTGTAACCAAAGCAGACAACTCAGTTTCATTACTGGCATGAATTTGAATTCTGAAAGTTAAATTTGTTTCAGTTTTTATTATTTGCTCCAGATTATACACATGTACATGCACATTGTGTAATCCTCTCTTCATGTTCCTGATTCTGGAAAGTAACAGTCACTTAAAACTCCTTTAACTAATTGTAATCACCAACTTCACATGGTACATGTATGCCGACCTATGTAGGTAACAACAAAAAGACAAACTGTCCTCAAAAATGTAATGTTTTTTTTCTACTGATGAATTTTTCAACAGCTTTTGCTATTGTGGCTGTCTGCAACCATAGAGCTATATTAAATTACTAGAACGCTAACTCTTCATTCTTGCGCACGGAGACGCTTTGAAGCCGCCCTGGGCGCAGACATTTTGAATTTATGTGCGTGTGAAGAACACAATCAAAATAGATAAATTGAATATTAAAAGTGTACTCTACATGCAACATACGCAGTAGAACATACGCAGATAACTTCAGCGAGTGATGACGTTTCAAAAAACGTCACGGCAAAAAGCATCTGCAGCACGGAGGGCAGGGACGCACAAACGTTGCGCTGTTTGCGTGGAACAAAATGAAACACTCATTTGCTGATCGTGTATTTCGGTTTTGGGCATATCGGCTTCAACGACGCACCAGTATGGAATACAACGCAGATATACAAATGGCCGTACAAGAGCCATACAAAATTTCGAGTTTTCTATAGGTTTGTGCACAAACATGGATGCGCCCATAAGGCATTACTTTGTACAATGAGTTAGCGCTCTAGTAATTTAATATAGCTCTATGTCTGCAACCCTCACAAAAAAGTCTTCAATTTTTGCATTTGCAGTTGCACACAATACGATTTGCCCAGTGCGTAGACAGGTTCCTAGTCCCTATATTATCAATTCTGATAGTGGTGGTAAACAGTTTACCACATGAGAACTTAGTAAAAGTCAGGCCATGTTTAATTTGAAATTTATTACATTTATTCCAAAATGAAGCTGGGACTATTTTGGGGGGTTTGTCAAAGTGAATAAATCTTGTATTGCTAGAAAAGAATCCTTTTTTTCTTGTATTGAAACTCGAAAAGAAAAACAGTATTGACTGTATCTTTAAAAGATATATAAAACCGTGAAGGTATTGAACATGCAGGATTAGTTTGAGAAATTATTCCCACATGGTGTTTCCACAAACCTTTCATTCATAAATACATGTAAGTGCACTCCATCTATTATTCAGAAACTTTCACTGTTTGTTGGTTTGTTTGTTTGTTTGTTTTCCAGGAAGTCATAGATGTCGAGAAGCAGAAACTGTGTGGTTACTTCAAGAAAGGGGAGGGCAAGAACTTTCAGCTGACGTCATTGTATCTGAATCTCAAGGGAGAAAGGTGGGTTCATGAAAACATCTCACTCAAAGTGATTTGTTATGTAGGGTCACTGATTGTCCATGTCAAATATGTCTGGTTTTAAGGCCGTGACAGGTACCCTTGGTACCTGTAACCTGACCGCTGATTACGGGTACCCGATTCCATTTTATTGATTTTATTACCCGTAACTGCCTTTGTAAATTACAACAACATTTCAGATCGGCAAGCGCCCTTTTCTATTGATTACTTGCGTATAAATTGACAGCAAAAAAGAGGAGACTTTCTTTTCTATCAATCCTTGCTGTCTTTTTTTCCCAAAATGAATTATGTTCTTCCCTTGGATGTTGATTTATTTACCCATACAACAATTCTGTACTTCCCTTCTGTTTGATATTCAATTTGATCTGATAAGGAATGAAGTCAAATGGAAGTTTTTATTCACAAACCACCATTTGATTTCTGTTGATCTGTGTTTTTTTTCTTTCCTGGGCAAATGTTGGTTTTTATCTGATACGAGTTTGTTTTCACTTTCTGGGGTTGAAATCAGTCTCTGCCTTGCCTGACAATCAAGTTGATGTTGTCATATTCTCAGTTTTGTTGATGAAACATCTTTGCAAGACAATTTGCAAGGGCTAACTACTTGGTCTAACTACGTGTTGGCATGATTTAGTAGAGGTTTGCGGTACCACTATGTAGAAGTCTCTTTGCGGAAGATGTGCGGCTCTGAAAAGAACCGGTTGGTTCTTTTCAGAGCTACACATCTTCCCAAAAAAGACTCTACAACATGCTGTTACTGCAACCCTTCACAAGAACAGTGTCTTCCACACATGTGACAATTTGGAAGGGGAAAGTGTGTTTGTCTATTTTTTTTGTGGCGGGAATGTAACCCCCCCCCCCTTTTCTTCCCCTGACCCTGACCCCCCCCCCCCCCCCCCCCCCCCCCCCCCCCCCCCCCCCCCCCCCGCTGCGGATACTATGTAAATATTTCAGTGATAATCAAGATTGTTTTGATTTTATTTCAGTCATAGATGTACATGGAAAGTGTTTGAGGACCTACGTGGATCTGTTTGGGCCTACAACGACGCCCATTCACTGAGCGGATTCGGGATTACCCATCAAAAAATCAAAAAGATAGGAGAGACCAAGGCCAGTTTCTTTGGTAAAATTATCCAGTCAGGTAAGACAAACATCTGTGAAGACTCATTTGCATTGGTCGGCATCTCAATTCTATGTGGATGATTTTGAAATTTGAAATTGTGATCAGAAAGTAGGAATCAAATTTAGTACAATTGGTTTTTGATTTCATCCATATAACTATTGATCTTCTTTTTCATATATGTAATTTTTTAGTTGCCCTTCGCTGAAGTATTTTACAAACACTGTACACTCGAGTGTTGTCTGAGGGCTTGCAAGAAAAAAACACAAGCTTACTTTGGGTTGGACACAAACCCACAATCTTCTGCTTCCTAGTGCAGATGCATCGACCACTGAGCTTGCTGTGGCCAGCTGGCGGTTTGGAGTCTGATGTAGCAGCCCTTAACCCAACTTTGTTTGTGTAGGAGGTCATTAGTTTGAGTCCCACCTAAGCCTTCGGACAACTCTAACTGTACAGTGTTTACAAAATATGTCGTTGAAGGGCAACCAAAAATCCAGTATAAAAAAAGGATAATTTCCATATCGTAATTTTTTTTTTTAATCCTGCCCAGGTTCCCATCTGAAGTCCATCCAGATGATCCTTAATAAGACAGCAGACGGTACAGGCATCGACTCCAACACCCTGGCCTTACAGATGAAAGCCCATCCTGAGCTGAGGGACAAGCTTCATGTCGTCACCTCATGGGGGCCTTTGCCTGTCTACCCTGGGGTGGTCAACTCAGAATGACCTGGTAGGTACAGTGGACTCTGTGACCAAGTACCAGTGTTGTAGTCAGGTCACCAACGTCGAGTCCAAGTCCGAGTCTCCAATCATAGTTCATACCATATACTGTTTAAGAGAAAACCCACGGAGAAGTATTGCCCAGAAAAAAAACAAAAGAAAGATTAATTGCAACAAATGCAAAGAGTGGTCGGGTTGTGCCCGACCACTCAAAAATCTGATTTAAAATCTGATTTTTTTTTTTGAAATCACAAAAATCACCAACCAGTTGGTTTAAATTTGTTCATGTTACTGATTATGGAAAGTAGAATTCACATTGTTCATGTATGCGGATCTTTGTATGGTAGATAACAACAAAAAGACAATTTTCATTTTTAAAGTCGGTGCAACCTGTCCTCAACAATGTTTTCTTCTGCTGATGAATTTTTCAACTGCTATGTCTTTTTTAAGGGAAAAAGTACTTGTACTTGTTTTGCCAGTTTAGTCATCTGTATGCAAACCTCTGAAAAAAAGTTCTTTTTGGTTGTATTTGCACACTATGAGACCCGCCTGCTGAGTAGGCTGGTTCCTGGTCATTGTATATTCTGATAGGGGTGGGAAACAGTCAACCACATGAGAACTGAATAAAAGTCAGGCTGCATTTGTTCCTTCATTTTCATTTTAGTGTCCCCACTCACAGCCAGTATTATACGCAACAAGTGTGAGTTTACCATGGGCAAGAGTGTAGATGGCATCGGTGAGTTAAACTCACATTCATTTTTATTTATATCCAATCTTTTCATGTTTGTTCTAGATCCTTTGGATTTGATGATTTCTGTCATTGGTGAGATGTGAACCCCAAGCCCCTGCTTATAGAAACTCTCTCATGCAGGGGCAGATTGAGACCAACTGTCCCTGGACTTACTGGCAAACTGGGTCTCACGGCATGAACACCAGGGGGTGGGGGATTTATCCCCACCCCCTCCCATGTTTTGACCAGAGGTGGGGCATGGGCAATGGCATCATCATGTGTTGGGAAAAATGCTGCTTGTTAAATCCTGTCAACATGACTTTACAAAGAAGTTGAATTAGTTCTGAGAGAAGCAAAGAGTAACCCTAGGCACTCTAAAAATGAAAGTACAATTTGAAATCAAAGCGTTTCTTTTCTTGTTTTTTTTTAAGGATAGAGCACACTTATCCACCAGTATTGGTGTTCAAGGCACTGCATCATTAAATTAAAAGTGCACATTACCTGGAATGGACATAACATTTTCATACAATGTGCCTGTTATGAACACCGCAACAGAAAGTTTCAGGAATTTTTTTCTCAGTTATTCCCCCTAATTTCTTGTTGGGTCTTCATGAAACTTGGCCCTGGATAAATTGTGCAAAACGTTTCAGTTTGTGTCTTATTATTTTCATTGACAGATAACACTGTTGGTTTCCGGCTTGGCGCTTACAAAGGTAAGTATTTCCTGTGAAGTTTCCTTTTTGCAAAAGACGTAGATCAGCTTTCATGTTTGATTGGATCGGCTGTCGAGGGGTGTGGCCTATTAGTAGCTACTGCTGATCAATGCAAACCAATCAGAATGCAACACACAGAAAGATTGACAGATGTACATATTGTGCATTGTCTAACATGTCTGTCAGGAATTAATTATTGAAAAGAAAGAAACAAGCCACAAAAGACTTAAACCCTTGTCATCCCCTTTGCTGACCAATATGTTGGCTTACTTTTGTGGCATGAATATTGAGGGTATATGTTTGTACTTTCAACATTGACCAGCGAGCTCTTTTACTCAATAGGGATTTTTCAAATATAACATTTGTACAAGCAAGAATTAGATTTTAAATAAAACATAATTCAGGAAAATCACTGTTTGTTTAAATGTTGCTAGTGTACACTTTTATTTATTTCATCACTGATCTTGCTTTTACACGCAAATTTGTTTGTCCTGTAAAAAGTATGTGACTTTTAGAAACATGGTTTGCCCTGCAATTTTTTTTCTCAAATATTACTAGGTATCAGAAAGACGTAAGAGCTCAAACACCGATTTGGTGATAGTACATTTCTGTATTATTTGTGTTTAGAGTTTTAAACGCAAGGAAATAGCAGCTTTAATGAACATATAAAAAGCAGCAATTCCTCGGATACTGTGCAAATTAAGATACACCTTGTATGATGCTAACTTTACAACGACATTCATATTTCACAGCATTGATTTTTCAATTACCCAAATTCGAAGTACCCTTGAGTCCATCTTAAAGAAATATTAGAATATTGCTTTGCATTTAAACATCATACAGACATGGAGCTCATAATGTAATACAACAGACTAGTGGTGCTACACAGATTATGTACAATTATAGAGCATGCAAGTCTCACCAGTTCACATTCACTTTTCATGTGAACTTCTTGGTACCAAACACTGACTAGTCTAGCCACAGACTCCCGTGTTTGAATTCACCCAATGAACGGATGTGGACGTCAACATTTATTCAATTTACTATAGTAATCAACTTGCCATATTGTTTTAATGTGTTGTAAATTGGAGTGATGATTTCTTGCTCAGAACCCATTCTTTGCCCTTGACTGGATAAACCTAGTAAAATCACCTACAATCCCGGCCAAAATGGTTGGGACACTTGGAAATAACCTTACCCTCCAACGGTCACCAACTCCCCCGCTCCCCCGGTCAATGTTGTTCTCTCCAGCGGATGGAGCACACACCGCGCAATGAGAGACAACATTGAGCTGGGGTTGGGGGCCCAGCGAGATTCGCCATGAGGGTTCGCCATGAGGGTTCACCATGCCATTTTGGCCAACAACTGTACAAAGTACAGTTTGTGTTTAACTTGAAAGGCTCATTGTGATACACAAACAATATACAATCCTTGTCAATTTGTTTGTATTCACTCATTCCGTTAATTTCCCAAAAAATCCATCGGAGATCCATCCATACCAAAATATAAAGGAATTGAGTCACTCTGCTTGTTATATAATTTACAGTGGTGAACCCTGGTTACACTATGGTTTGGATGGATTTTTTGTCCAAATGGGGGATTAAAAACAAATTGAAAAAGATGATACGTTGTTTGTGTATCCTAATACGGCTTTCACGTCGAACACAATCTGCATTTTGTAAAAATATCGGCCAAAATGACATGGTGCACCGTCATGGTGAATCGTGTGCATTGACCAGGTTTTTGAGGTCAACTTGCACACTCTATTGACAGAAGTGGAGAATAAATTGCTGACTCTAACTATCAACTACAGTTTTCCAACTAGTAGCTGTGATGACACCTTTAATACACCAGACTTAAATCCCATACTGTACATCTAAAGCCTACAATGGTCTCATATTATATGTCTGTGCTCTGCAGAAAAAAATCTATTTAATGGATTTCTCCTAGCAAAATTAAATTTCAAAGAAACTTTAAACAAACATTCAGCACTTTGTTTGGTCTTCAGAAAATGTTTTCCATGTTGTGCTACATGTACATGTATGCACAAAGAATGGTACACGTGTGTGCTCCCAATGCATGACTTGCCACTTTCTTTATCTGTTACTTAGGCTGTGTCTGAAACGGGCTTCTAGAGCTATGGCTACGGCTATTGTCAAATTGTTCCCATGTAATTGTAATGGGTTAAGACCTAGACAGTAGCCATAGACATCTCACTTGCTCTAATTAGACTTTAAAATGCCTTTAAAAAATAGCAAATTCAATGTATTTTCTTCTTTAATTGGAGTTGGTCTTTTAATCTGTTCGTTTTTGTCTATCAGGTCTTGACCCACAAGATAACCATTCCACCAGCACCTCTGACGTACCGGTGACTGGCGCTGCCATAACATATCTTTATCACTATCTGACGCAACAGCACTTCACCTCAGAGATCTTCAAGATTGAGATCCAAAACCTCCCAAGACATTTTGGATTTGCGGTGAGTTTGCTCCCTAAACTTACAACCCTCGATAATGATAATCAGGTGCAAATCCAGGAACATTTGCTCCAAGAAATATGGGAGCGGGGGAAATTTGGATTATAGATGCTCTGTGGTGCAATCTGAGGTGATTCCTGGCCTTTTATAGTCTTTATAAATATAGTCTTTACAAAAATTATATGATGACGTTGAAGAACTCATTTTAAAGCAAGGAAATGTTTTGGACTCGGTGAAAAGTATAATTTGTACTTTAAAAGTGCACTTAAAAAATGGTGACCAATGGTGAGTTCCAATGGTTCTCCAGCTTGCTGTGTCATACAGCCAGTACACAATGTTTGCAGGCTGATGTTTAATATCAGCGCCGGTATATTTGTAAGGAGGTTGCCCTCCTCCTTCCCTCCTTCTCGCTCTTCTCCCCCTCTTTTTGTCCTTTTTTTTTCTTTTTTTGTTGACTCAATTTGACGGGGGGCACGTGCCCCTGCGGACCACCCCTGGATCCGCGCCTGAATTATCATACAGTTTGCGCTATATCAAGAGTTCCTATTGCCAACCATGGTTGGAATTTCTCAAGGTCTTTTAATAGCATAAAGGAATTAAAGGGCCGTGAAATGAATTTCACTAAAATATTAAAATATATAAGCCTCCTGTATTTATCAAAGTAACAACTACATGTACTTTCTTATTTCCTTTTTTTCAAGTGCACTTTTTACAATGTCCAAACAATTTCACTTTACAGCTTTGGGATTTTCTGTGTAATTGATGAACCTAAATTTCTCTGCATTGTACATGTACACATAGCAGTTTGCACATTGAAGTATCACATTGACTGCCTGCCATGTGCTAACCGCGATCAAAACACTTATGTAGCTATATTTTTCCTCAAACATCAGTGAAACTGAAGTTCCAGCGCATGACATCGCTGTATTTCTCATGAATATGCACCTTGGCACCATCATGAAAATATGTAAAAGCCTGAAACATCTAAAGACTTGGAATACAGAGGTGCATTTCCTAAAATTAAAACCTCCAAATCTGTTTCAAAGGCACTTCAACAAGTACTTAAGGTGGAAAATGTCAGGGTTAGCCATATGTTAATGCCAATAGATGTGCATTTTCACAAATAAAAAGTAGCAAACTTGCTCATTCACAAAAACCTCATCAAGTAACAAGGAACAGATATGGAAAGTGTAATTTATTTGCCAAGAAGATCATTTGTATGTGTAAGTAGTTTAAAACCAATTGCATGCATACATTGAATGAGTTCCAGCTGTTCCCTTTACTGATATTTGTTGCAATCTGCTCTGGGCCTGCACATTACTGATGTCATGGTGCGTACGAGTATTGGCAATCTGCTAAGTAAAACACATTACAACTCCAGCATATTATGCTGATAATATTTCTCAATTTCAAATCTACTTGGCATTTGAATGAAAATGATATATGAAAAAGCCATAGATCTACTCTTCACTTTGAACACTACACAGCAAATTCAAAAGCAACTGCACAGTGCTCTACTTACATGCATTGCTTGCACTCATCAGTTACCAGATAACATTGTTCTTGACAACTTTCCAACGATTGACTCCCTTCTGGTTCTGGATGTGCATACTGCTGCCCTTGTGCTGATGGCTCGGTGCCAGTCAGCCCAGGACATTGTTCCTGAGTACTTGCAAGTGACTGCTGGCTCTCTGCTGGTCCTGGATGTACACACTGTTCCCCTTGCATGGATGGCTTGCAGTCAGTCAGACTAGAGCATTGTTCCTGATGAGAACTTGCAAGTGCTGGGGTCCCTGCTGGTTCTGCATGTACCTCAACATGCACTTGAACATGCTGCTGACTGTGCATGGATGCCTTGCTGCTGCTTTGCCTGGAACATTGTTCTTGACAGCTGTCCAGTGGCTGCTGACTCTCTGTGTGTTGTGCATGCCCTTGGCTTGGTGGCTTGCATCTGCTTGGCCTGGCAGCACGGTGCTCTTGGTCATTTTTTGCCTGTGGAATCACACGAAGTTCAATCTGCTTCCCTGGCTGCGATGGTCGGCTGGGATTCCGTCTTGGGCAGCAACAACAGCACAGTTTGAGGAATGAGAAAGCCTTGACTACAGCTTCACGAAAGTCAGCGTTTGTGGCACTGTAGACCAGGGAATTAATTGAGCTATTGATCAGTTGCAAAATTGCAATGCATATAAACAGAATATGTATTGTCTCTCCAAGTTCCAGATAGGCAACAATCTCAGCAGGTGATGTATACTTTGATTCCACTACACCTACATGAATTGTCATAATTGCAGCTGCAGTGAACAGTGAGTTCAGAATGAAGAAAACAGCAGTGTTGATGATAACCATGCAGAGGACCTTGCCTGCCCGCTTTGGACGGTTCGGCAACAGGGCTGATTGCTTGCGTACTTTCAATACTACATAGATGTACAAAGCAAGAGTTGCTATCAAAGAGGCAATATTGATAATGGAACGAATCCCAAAGTAGACGTTAGTGGAGACAGTGTCTGTTAATGGTAAGAAAATCAGAATCACACCAACAATAATTGTTGGCACCCAGAGTCCTGCTGATATCTTTGCTGCTCGAGATTTAGAGGCTTTTTCCTTGAATGTCAGAGGATTGCGCACTGCAGAGAATCTCTCAGCTGCTATGGTAACCACAAAGAAATTAGAAGTTGCGATGAACGTGTATTGGACACTTGTTATTGCCTTCTTGACCAATAAGTTGTACTCTATAGGTGAAAACAGTGCACATACGAAGTAAGTCATAAGGTACAGTGAGTCAGCCACAGCCAGATTGGATAAGTAGATGTTGATGATTGTACGCATGGACTTCACTCGAATGACTGTGAAGAGAAAGACAAAGTTTAAGCAGAGGCCAATTGGTGCAATGATTTCAGCACTTAACAGTGTTATTTGATCAAATCTTTCTTCACTCTTGTAAAAGTTCTCAAGATGCTTTTCAACTTCAGTTTTCCACCCAGTTGATGGAGTGGAGCTGTTTTGGTAGCCATCACCCATAGTTTATGCACAATGTAGCATTGAGCTCCGTGAGCTACATTCTATTCAGAAGCAGCAAAGAATGTTCTTTTCTATTTCAAGATCACTCCACATTTATACTTACAGGGATTGTAAGACCTTGAGCAATTGAAACAGAAAGTTTCTTGTTCTTTTTTCTCATTTTCCCCAAACATTTGTGTCAGATTTTAATGCATGTGACTATCTTGTGGTATCAGTTCCTGTAACCAAAGCAGATGCATGTAAGTCAGTTTCACTACTTGCACTGACATGAAATCTGACAATAAATTTGTTTCAGTTTTAGTTATTTGCTCCAGATTAAACATGCATATTGTGTACATGTAATTGTTTTTAGATGCAAGTTCTCCCTTCACAAAGCATAAATGCCACTCAATGTGAGGGCTACAGTACAAGAAGAAAAGCCATAAAAACAGGATGATAGTAAAGGAAGACAATTAAGTTTAGTGCGTGAGAGATGCATGTAGTGCTGCAACCGAACCACCGAACCGAACTAAAAATAGCCGAACTTGGCCTTCCGAACTGAAACCGAACCGAACCGAACCCAAAAGTCGGTTCGGAAGAGTTCGGCAAGTATTTGTAGAAAGCGCTAGGAATGCTAATGCTTGCAATGAAAGGGCCAAATTAGCACGCACTGATTGAATTGAATAATACCGTGTTGAAAAGTCACCGCATTCATCTTCATTATTTGCGATGTTCTAGCCATGCATACAATAGGATATCGGGGCCGATCAGCTTTGAAAAAATCGTACGCACCTGCAATTCCCTGAACAAAAAGTGCGTTCTTATCTCGCTTTGGACGCGCAGCCCGACTGGCCAGGATATCCCATAGATATAGAATAAAAAATCTATTGGATATCCCTGCCCAGCCGCGTTCCACGACGTAGTTCGTTTGGACCAAACCATTTGCGGTGAAGGGTGCGCTTTCCTCGGCACAATTTACCAGCATTTGCATATTTTTCACCGTGTCAAAATTACAAATAATACTTTTTATGGAGTCAAAAACCTTTCCCTCGTTCAGAGTAGTTTCTTAATTTTTGCAATATGTTTTTTTTTTCGTAAAAAATGTATACGATAAATGATGTATTTCCCAAAAGACGGTGAAACACCCCTTTCAGGGTTGGCGATTTTTTTTTATTTTTTCAAAAAAATATAAAAAATCTGATTTATTTGATTAAAATCAGATTTTTTTGATTTAAATTAAATTTTTTTGATTTTTTGAATTTCAAAATATTGATATGTCTAAAGATGTGTCTAAATCTCCCCATGCGCCCTCACACCCATCACTAAGGAGTTTACAGGTTCCTATAATACCCATCCACAAAACTCAATCAATTGATAAATGCTTTTGAAAAAAATTGTATCGAATCAGTGATTTAAAAAAATCACTTGATTTCTTCTAAATGTAGTCTACATCATTGGTTCAATGGTACATCAATACTGAAGACACTATAAAGGAGCATTGCTTGAGTGATACAGCTGAGATACGTTATGTGTGGATACGAATGAAAACTTGATTTATGGTACGTGTACATGGCATACAAAAAAATATGACAGTTCTCCACTGGCATGTTGATTTCATAAAAATGCTTCTAATTTCAAAACCGGCGGCATTGATTGTGTAACTTATAGTGTTTGATTGATGGTCCAAGGTGGAGAACAGAAATCAGGTCTTGCACCTTTAAAAGGTTTTATATAAATCTCAATCTAAGTTTGTAGGGAGAGACCTTTTGATGGTTCATGTCAGCCTTGACCAGCACAGTTGATTCACAATATCACTGTAAACAGATCAAGGAATGATTAAAGCAAACGTGAGTGTGCTCTCTTTAAAATTAAAAACTTTGAAGAAAAACTTTTAAACTCAGATCTTGACTTCGTCAAAACAACGATTTGTGTAATTATGCAAAACCTAAATTGAGTAGATGGTGATAAAATAGGGGTGTTTGATTGTGTTAACAACATCTTACACT